AAACTGGGCCTGTTTGCAGATAGGTATTATAACTCTCCAGGGCTTCCAGCTTCACACTTTTCACCAGGGTGATACAGAGTCACCTTGCAAATACAGTTTGGTTGACACAAGTTCCAAGCACAGGTGAAAAAGCTCCACAGAGAAATGCCCTCCAGCAACATTTCCTTAACAACTTACCCAGAAATCAGGTCCTCTTCACTTTCACTCTGTCCTTTTTGGACATGTTTTTCCCTCTGTTTGGGCAGAGAAGGTGAGTCATGGAACAAAGACAGCGTGGAAATTTACATCCAGCTATGAAAGTCTATGTTATGACTACCACGAAAAAAAAATCATCCACACAACTCACTCTCAGTGTAAGTCACACCCAGCTTGGAAGAAATATGAGTTTAAACCTGTTCCTTTTTGGTTGATTGACGCTGCTGGCTGCTGCAAGCTGCTTCCTCTGCCTGGCACACTCAGCCTTCAGCCTTTGTTTTGTAAGATATGTAAAACCTCTCCAGTCAGCTGCCTGCTACTTGGTGGATGGACACAAACACTGCCTCAGAGAGGGCTAAGGGGCACCCCTGTGCTCTGACCCCCTCATAGAGCAGCTTCCTATCCCCTCAAGGTGGGGTGTTGCAGTATTCCCAAGTGTTTGATGGGTGGCAGTGCATGGAGAGTGCCTCCCTGCTCTTGGGTCTTCATGCTTAGAACCCCCTCATTCAGGACTATGCATTTTATCTTGAAGTGCAGGTCTCACCCTCTCCTTTTAAAATACGGTGTCTGCTGCTGCCACCTACCTTTTATGCTGGAATGGATGCAAGAAATATTCCATACACCGAGTCTGGAAGGAGCCCAGGATTTCCTCCTCATCCCACGAGCTATAAACCCAACCCATAAACCACGAGCTTAATTTGTTGTGTGGGCAGGAGGCTTTATCTGCTGTTGTGAGAAAACGTTTCCTGCTATGGAAGAGAAAAAGTTTCAAAACCCATCAAGAGATCACTTCTTGCTCTTGCCCGGCTGTGAGGGCTTTCACACAGCAGATCTCAGGATCTGCCCCACAGAGGAGATGGTCATATCAGCCAGGGAGCATTTAATGTAACAGGAGAGGCGGAGAGAGGTGTCTGGGAAACCTGTGGCCTCACAGCAGTAGGGGTCTGAACCTCACTCTCACCCTCCCCAGCTGCTTCACGACGTGGTGGTTGTGAAGTGGAAGCAGAGGTAGAGATGAAATGCTGTCTCCAAATGTTTGTCCCCAACAAACCTCTGCTTTCCTTCAGGCACGTTCCTGGAGAAGCACAAACCCCTTAGGAATGCTGGTGTGTGTGGTTTGTGCCAGGTTTATCTCCCAGGCAGCCCCCAGACCGCTCAGCTTTGCAGCAGTCAGAACACATGGGAAATATTTAAGCAAAATAAATGTGGCTTTTCTGTGGGTACTAACACTAAGAGGGACATAGGACAGCTCTAACCCTCTTTTCCCACCTACTTTTCCACAGCAAACAGCAGACCTGCAATTAGTTTTGGGTGAGGAGGAGCTGCAGCTGACACAGATCTGCCAAGCCCAGGTGCTGCCATGCAGAGGCTTCAGCATCACAGGCTCATGTCTACGTGCTGACATCCCACCCAGGCCCATCACCAGCCCCAACCTTCAGCTGAGAAGCAGCACACAACCTCTGAGTAAGAAGCCGGTTTCTTTTCTTTACACCAGGACAGCATCATTCCTGCACATTCTGCAGACTAAGTATGGGAATGATTTCACCCACCACACGCAGCCACCTTGATGGGAGAGAAAGCCTGGCAGACGTCTCACAGCACACAACAGGTTTATGCTGCCATCCAGGGCAGGAAGCAAGAAAGGATATTATATCAAACAGAAGGCATGGGAGAATTTCAGGTTAGATGGAGCATACTTAGTCACAGCAGAACTGGGTCAGTGCTCTGGGACCTGTGTTCACTTCCTGCAGGAACCCTGGCTTAGCCCAAAATAGTAGCAGTTAGGCAAAAGCCAAATATCTGCCCCTTTTTGTCCCCACAGCAAATACTAATGCTTACATCATTAAAGGAGAAGCATAAATAGAACAGCCTGGGGCTGTGATTTGGAAAGATCTTGGTCTATGGATGAACCATCAGCTTTTCTTATAGCTCACTATTGTGCCATCAGACTTTTCACTGAAGATACTATCAGGATGATATAAGCCTTCATATCCACCCAACATTTGCACCAGTCAACTAAGAAGAATCAGAGCCCACATCTGTGGGTTTTCTGTGTGACCCGGTTTTCGTCTCGCCGCCTGACACGTGCACCAGCACAGCACAGCACAGCACAGCATGCAGCAAGGAATGGCTCCTACTGGCAGTTTGGACACTGCTTTGGAAAAGAAGGGAGAGTCTGGCTCTGTGGGTACAAGGTGTGCCCCACCTGTTGTCCTCAGGGACAGAGGACAGCGCACATCTATTTTATTTCACCGCACAGAGCCAATACAAGCACTGCCTGCAACACGCTGGGTTACCACTGCTCTGCACTGTGCACCCTCCAGCAGGTGTTCACTTCTCTCCAGACAAGTGCCAAAGGCTGTCAGCCAGCACTGGTAGGAGAACACCTGAAACTACGCACAGAGCCACACACCTCTGTTCATCCTTCTTCCAGGCTTTGTGAATGTTTTTAAGAGCAACTCGAGTAGGCAGCATCCGGGGGCAGATCCTCAGCACGCCCATCAGCAGGGAGCTGTTGACATCAGTGGAAAGAGCCTTTACACAACATGATGATCTTTATATTGTTCAGGAACACCCTAGAACTGAAATCCCCGTAGTGGGATACCTGGGGCACCAAACACGCTCAGAAAAGAGGAGCTGCTTGGAAGAGTTACAGCTTTCAGAGTAATTGGTGTGTGCCTGACCAATTCCCATTAAAACCAGGTGGTTTTAAAGGAGCTGCTTGTCACTTAGTGCCTTATAATACTTGAACCTGAAGTCCTGGGGTCCTGTGCCTGGTTCCCAAGGTAAACACATGTAATTTATTTCAGAAAGGCATCTGCAGCACAGGAATTCATTACATACATACCCGATGGGCAACAGCCAACATTTCAAATGTGCCAAGTTACCAGAATTTTATTAAAAGCTGTTAAGAGTTAGGGGGAAGGTGCAGAGAAAAGCAACCTCCTTCCCAAAGCCAGGTGGCTTAGGCTAGACTTACGCCGCTTCCCAAATGGATGAGGCAAGCTGGAGTCAGAGGTTCCTTCCAACAACCAGCTCAGTCCCCCTGGATGTCTCTCCGTAAGCTGCACAAATATTCTGGGGAAGGGGAGGGAGAGAGAAAAGAGTGAAACCTATTCAATTACATCAAGATCACGGCTGGCCCTAGTAAAATCATTTATGGAGTGAGGGAACCCGGAGCGGTTTGGGCTGGAGCCATCTGCAGTTATTTGGTATATACAGAATCCGTTTCTATGGATTTTATTAATAGGTCACGCGATTGTATACGAGGATGTGAGATCTGAATCTCTCAGGAGGGGTCCCTGGTTGGGGTTTCTATTGCCTTTATAGGCAATGGCTCAAACTTTCTTGCAGCAGCAACTCCTTAAAAACTTTGAGTGGAATGGGGCTGGTTTTAGGATCCAGCCCATTTTTTTCTCTCCCCCACCAAAATCTTGAATTGACTTTGTTCCTCTTCCTCATTTACTAAATGGGGAAACAAGGAAATAATCAGAGAAATATTCTTACTTACTTTTTCCATTGTCTGCATGAATTTTCCCTCTTTCCCACCAGTCTGAGGGATATCTGGTACATAACTCAGTTCCCACTTCCATCTGTTTTTCAGGCTTTTTTTGGCCCTTATTTAGGGGTGAATTTTGCTTTTATGCCACTGTTGGCTCTCCCCATATGGGAAGTTGAGCCCAAAGGGACTTGGACACACAACAGAGGCTTGGGACAGGTGGGTGTAAATTGGAGCAGCCCAGAGGCTTCTCTGCTTCCCCAGGGAGCTGCCCAAAGATCCCTGGGCTGTTCTGAAGAGCAAGCTGTGACATGGGAACAGTCAAAAGCCTCTACGCTTTCGTCTTCACTATGGCTCGATTTTGCTTCAATTCCCCCAAAAGAGACAAAACCAAACCAAGTTATCAGAGAGCAATTCCTTCACATCCTGGCCACATGGAGAAAGCTGGGCCCTGCAGACAGCCACACTGCTGCAGCAAGGTTGAACCAGCTTCACCAACACTCCAGCTGATGAAGCCCCCATCCCAGAACCTGGGGCTTTCAGTGCTGTTTCTCATCTCCTGCTTTTTCCAGTTAGCCCTACATGGGACAGCTCGCTCTTTTCAGGAGCTTTCAGGAGGTCCCAGAGACCCCCAGCTGGAGTGCAGAGGCCACATTCCATCCTTCTTGAAAGCAAAGCCGGGGGGGGGGAATCCCACGGTGTCCCACGGGGTGGGAGTGGGGGCTGATCCGACCTGCAGGGCCAAAAGGGAAGCCCCACCGGGACCAATCAGGGCTGCAGGAGGGGGTGTCACCCGGGGGCTCGGGACTGCCCCGGGGGTCGAAACTGCCCCACGAGTCTCACCGTGGTTGATACGACCTGTGGGGGGCCAGGGAAGCCCCACGGGACCGAGCAGGGCTGCGGGACAGGGCATCATCCGCGATGCGAGTCCGCCCGGGGGTTGGCGCTGCCCCGGGGGCTCGGGACTGCCCCGGGGGTCGGAGCTGCCCCACGAGTCTCATCGCGGCCGATTGCGACCTGCGGGGCCAAGGGAAGCCCGAGAGATGCCCTGCGGGGCAGGGCATCATCATCCCGCACGGGGGTTGCAGCTGCCCCGGGGGGCTCGGAACTGCCCCGGGGGTCGGAGCCGCCCCGCTCCCCCCCCCGCCCCGGTGTCGCCCCCCAGCGCCGGGGCCCTGCCCGTCCCCCCCGACGGCCCCGCTCGGTCCGCCCCCCGTGCCCATCCCCGTCCCATTGGCCGCGGCCGCCCCGCGCGTCACCGCTTCCTCCCGCTTTTGTGCGCCGCCCCAGCCCGGCTCCAGCCGAGCGGAGCCGAGCCCAGCTGAGCCGTTCCCAGCCGAGCCAGGCGCCGGGACCCACGGCGGTGACAAGCCCCGGGTGTGCGGGCATGGCACAGTGACCCCGCCGCCGCACCGGTGAGTCCACCCGCAGCTCCCCCTTCCCGCCGGGTCCCTGCGCCCGCCTGCCCGGGTAGTTTCGGTTTTTAATTATTTTATGCTGCCTGCAGCGGTGGCCGAGAGTTTTTGCAGCCGCGACTGGCTTCCGTGGCTTTTTCTTCCTTCCTTTCTAGTCTCGCAAGTGGAGGGTTGTCCCTCCGGCTGGGTTTGGGGCTCGCAGGGGATGGAGCGGCTGTCCAAGAGGAGAGCGCCGGGAGCCGTGTCCGTGGGTGCGGATGGAAGGATTAAGGGATTGACCTTCCCCGGAGCTCCCCGCAAACCCCCGCCTTGAGCTGTTGCGCTCGGGTCACTGGTTTTCCCAGGTTGTTTCCTGGAAGCCTGTCCCAGCTGCAGCTGCTGACAGCGAGCGCCGGGATTAGACCCCGATATCCGTTCCCGGGATGCGTTAACCTCTGGAGCCAGCAGTTTCTGGCGGCGATCACTTGGGTCTCGCTTCCTTGGGAAGCGTCTCGACCACACCAGGGAGGTACGGGGGTTCCCGGAGAGCCCTCACTGTCCAGCAAAGCTCTCCCCGCACCGTCTGCCCGGAGCGGTGAGGATGGGATGAGCGTGGGGAGGAAGGCTCTGCGGCGGGCACGGACCCCCGTGGGCGAGGGAAGCCCCGCTTGGGGCTGGAAAGCTGGATTTCCACCTGGACTCAGCCAGCGGCTGTCGTGGGGAGCGGTACCACGAGTCGGGAAGATGCTCTGGGAGGATTCACTCAGTTTGGAGAGCGGCTTCCCCCTCGGCTGCTGTTTTTATCGTCCTCTTTAATTCCTGTCTTGTAATCCAGTGGTTTTTGGAAGCAGACCTGATCCCGGTTCGATGCAGAGTCTGCATGTGTTGCTGGTGCGTGGACCAAAAACACAGGGCTCACTTGGGATTTGAAGGCTTGGGATTTGTGCAGGATTTAAGTGATCCCAGGGATTTCCAGGGTCAAGCTCTTTCACTTCTTTGGTGAGAGTGAGTGGCTGGGGGGAATTTCTTTCTGTGCCACCTTATGAATTTATTTCCAGTCTGGTACGTGCAGTTTGATGTAGCTCCGTGCAGGATTTGTGCACGGAGTGCAGCTCTTGGAAGCAGTTCCTCAGGTGTGCATGAGATAGTTGCATTTGGGGGCTTGCCTGTGGCTACCTGTGTCTTGTGATACCTGTGTCAGATGGTCCAGTTTGCAGAACCCCTAATTTGACATCAGTTATGAATGGAGGTTCAAGGTTTCTCAGGGCTCCTGCAGATCAGAGCAGACCTCCATGCCTGGGCACAGCCTTTGCCCTGGGAAGGTTTTGCAGCTTGTAAAGGCTCCTCTGTTGGAGGCAGGACGTGAGGCTGGATGGGCTGCCAGCCTGGTGGGATGTGGATTTAAAGGATCTTTTATACCTCCCTTCTGCGAACGGGTTTTGGTGCTGCAGTTTTTTCCATGGGTTCTTAATCTCCATCAGGAACCCACAGCTCTGCCCTGTCAGTGTGTGCCGGTGGGTGATGCATTTCTTTTTTTGGAGGCTGTTAGAGCCTATGAGGGAAGTGTGCTCATGCAGAGAGATGTAGTCTGGATTTTCATCCAGACGAAGCGACTCCGGCGTGAAGAGCCAGCGACTTCAGCAGCCAGAGGAGCGGCTCCATCCCTCCTGAAACGTTCCTGTTGCTTTATGATGCTTCAGGATTTCAGCCTGCAGCTTGGACTTGATGCTTTCTGAATGTTCCCACTGGGAAGATGCCGGCGAGGATCACACCGTGTGTCTGGCGCCCTGGCAGAGCCGTGGGATGGAGTGTGTTGCTGCAGCATGGAAAGGGATGTGCTTCCAGCCCTGCTCTCCCCAGCTGGACGTGGGAACGAGTGTGAGAGCTGGCAGGATCTTCTGTTCTGGTGGATCTGGCCCTGCCGTCGTAGACCTGCTGGTCGAGGCTGGAGGGAAGTGAGTCAGGGTTTGCTGTTAGAAGGGATATCTTTTATTAGACTGCTCAGGTAGCACAGGCTGTCTTTGGAGTGTACAAGCCTGTCTACACATAGAAGAAAACAGGGAGTGATTGCCCTGAGTGCACCTTGGCTCTCCTGATGGAGGGCATCATCTGGAAGAACAGGGGAAAAAAAGAGGTATTCAACTACAGTTCAGCCTGTGCAGTTCATCTGGCTTAAGGAAAGGTGATTTCTCTCTCTACAAATCTCTGGACTCTTTAGATCCTGAGACCCAGCACAGGAAAGGGACACATATCCCATGTGCCAGCTTTTCACGGGAGGTGGCCAAGCCCTTTGCAGCCCGGCTCCCCCAGCGAGGAGCTGCAGGTGATGGGGCTGGTGCTCCCTGATGCCTGATGGCAGCAGGAGGCTGCTGGGCTCAGTCACTTCCACTCCCTTCTCTGCTCAGGGCACAGGCCAAGCACAGTGTGCACAGAAATGTGCAGAATGTCTGTCAGCTGTGCACCAGGGAGATGGAAAATGCAGTGCGGAGCCATAAGTGGTGGAATATGGAATTCAACTTTTTTTTTTTTTTTTTTTTAATGTCATCAGACACTTTTTAGAAAAAGGGAGCTATAAATGGCCCACTGATCCCGAGCCTGGCAGGTTCACCCCCAGTCCCCAGACTTTATTTATTTTCCTGTTTAAGCTCCACAAGGGGAAATGGGTGACCAAGTGGTTTTGGTGAGTCCCTTCGGGGAGCAGTTCCCCATCCCTGTATGCAGCCCTGGAGGCCAGGTCAGTTCAGTTCAGCATTTCTTTCCGACACCTTTTCTGCCTTTGCTGAGTGAAGTGTGACGTACAGAGGTGTTGAATGTCATCTCAGTTGTGCCTGAAACGCGCTGTCTCCGTGGGCTTACCCCCATATCCCGCATGGCATGAGCCTTCATCTGATGTGGTCAGTGCTGTGGTGAGCATCAAATGCACAAGACAAGTGGTTTTCTGTCTGTGAAGGTGTATGTGAACATGCATGAGCATGGATATGTGGGCATTTTTGTTTGTTTTCTGTCTATCCCTGCAGTCCTGATCTGGTCTGGCCGAGTAATCTTCCCGTTAGTCACTGAAATGCCACTGGTATCCAGCTCAAAGGGTGGTCAGGCATTGGAACAGGCTGCCCAGGGAAGTGGTGGAATCACCATCCCTGGAGGTGTTCAGAAAGCATGCAGATGGGGGACATGGTTTAGTGGTGGACTTGGCAGTGCTGAGTTAATGGTTGGACATGATGATCTTTCCCAACCTTAACGATTCTAAGATTCAATTAGTCTGTCCCAGTTAATGGATGCAAGAAATTAAAAGCAAAGATCTCCCTTAAAAATTGATGTCTTCCTCTTCAAAGCCCCTTGGGAGCTACTCCTGGCAGAAGACCTGTTGCATGGGCTCTAGGAGGAGGAGAAGAATACTGTAGTGGGGCTAGAGAAGAGTTTTGGGGATGCACCCTGGGAGAATGTGGCTCCCTGCTTTGTTTCAGTGCTTGGGCTGTTGCTCCAGGAGCTTTCCCTGGAGCCACAGGGTTTGGGCCAGGAAGCCCAGGATGGTGGAAGATGCAGCATTAGCATGGTCCTTGGTGGGGACCCTTGCAGCTCTTTGCCCTATGTCCCCGTGTCAGTGACTGAAGTGGGGGCACTGTTGAATGTCATCACTGTGTCTGCTCTCAGGGCCAGCTTCTGTTCCCAGGGCACTTGGGACGTCTGTGAAGGGAACCCAGAGGGTTTGACCTGGAGTTTCTGAGGCTTTTAGGAGTCAAAGGTGGAAGATATATCTGTGCCCTCTGAAAAAGAGGATTCTGCTCCCAAGTTCATTGCCCAAACACTTTTTTTGTGTCTTGGAAGATCCTAATACAAATGTCAGTGGAGACCAAGGGGCTCAGAATTTAATGAGAATCTGTGGTGAGCTGGAGCCTGTCCTGCTCTCCTGAGTTAAAACCTAGGCTGGCCACCATTTCATGCAGAACTAATTGTCATTTCTGTGAAATCTTCCCTGATTTTATACTCCCCACTCTCCCAAGATGATTTGGGGCAGCCCAGGGAGAACAAGCTGTAACAGCAATGAACCAGGGTGGAGCTGAGCCAAACCTTGGCTCACTGTGGAAGCTGCATGGGACAAAGTCCTGTTGGCAGTGTGTGCCGTGCCCAGCAGCCTGGGACAGATCCTGGAAGGAGCTGGCCAACTACTGCGTGGGCCACTGTGTAAACAACATGTGTGAGGGGCAGGTCCTTGGTGGGGGTGGGAGGATGGCTCAAGTGCTCACGTAGTGATTAAACACCAAATTGCTTGAAAAAATAGCCCTCGGTGGGTGGATCAGAGGCCGCTCTGCAAACCTACTGTGAGCAGCAGCTTGTGTGCTGAAGTAACAAAAACTCATCTGATTTGATAGCTGGGTGATTCAGAGGGAGAAAAGACTTTGTACAATTGCTTTGGGAAGAATAATTTGTGAGATAAGAAGCCTTTGCAAGGGGTGTAGGAATGTCTTAAATCTGTGGGTACTGAAAGGTGTATGTGGCCCCTGCAATGCTTTTGAGTGCTCCTGTACTACCAGGACTGTCCTGGAGTGGTTGTGTTTGTCTTGTCCATGTGCAAGTGTTTCTTGCACAGCAGCTTCCAAGTGCCCCTAAATCCCCAAGGGAATATTGAAAACTTTGCACGTGACAGTGGTTAGGCCAAACATTGTGTATAAAAGTGAACCCTCTTGTGCTACAAGTCCTGCTGCTGCTGCTCTAGGTGCAGAGGTTCTGAGGAAGATGCTGCTGCTTTGGTGTATCTGTTGAAGTCTGTCTTTTTTGAGGTTGTCCTTGCCCTTCAGTCCCGTGGTCTGGTCAGGCAGCTGGACTAGATGATTGTTGTAGTTCCCTTTCAATTGAACTACTCTATGAATGTACATGGAAGTCCATCATGATGAGGATGGCGGGTTACTTGGATTTGCTCAATGCTTATGAGCTGCAACCTCTTTGGGTTTTTTGTCCTTGAGCAGAAGTCAGATTGTCACAGTCCAGTTGTGAACCAGAAATAGTGCAGTGCTCTCCATAAA